CCCTGATGCAAGCAAAGAATTTATAATTGACACAGACGCAAGTGATATAGGACTTGGCGGTGTGTTGTCTCAACGGAATGGTGACCAAGAGGTCGTGATAGCGTACTTCAGCAAGTCGTTGTCAAAACCGGAAAGGAACTATTGTGTCACAAGACGCGAATTGCTCGCTGTGGTAAAGTCGTTGCAGCATTTTAGCAAATATCTTCTGGGACGAAAATTTCACTTACGAACTGACCATGCTGCACTAAAATGGCTATTGCAGTTTCAAAATCCAGAAGGACAAGTTGCGAGGTGGATTGAATTACTGCAGGAATACGACTTTGAGATCGAACATCGCAGCGGAAAATCTCAAGGCAACGCAGATGCATAGTCAAGAAGACCTTGTCCTGAAGATTGCAACCATTGTACTAGGCAAGAGAGTAAGGAAGAGGTATCCGTGAGGATGCTCAGGACGGACCACCTCAGCACCGAATGGAAGGACAGCTTACAACATGCACAGCAGGAAGATCCGGACATCAAGCCGATTCTGGAATGGATAAAGGCCAGTGCTCCCAAGCCTAAGTGGAGCGACGTCTCAGCAATGAGTTCGACCACTAAAAGCTATTGGGCCCAGTGGGACAGCTTGCTGCTTCAGGATGGAGTTCTGTGAGTTGAGTTCTGTACCGTAAATGGGAAAATGTTAGGGGAGACAGCTGTCATTTGCAAATGGTTGTCCCTAAAGCTAAAGTACCGGATGTTCTACAGCTGTACCATAGTGATTGTTCCGGAGGCCATCTGGGAGTTAAACGAACTCTATTGAAGATCCGAGAACGGTTTTATTGGGTCCACTGTCGAAACAATGTCGAGGACTGGTGTCGCAAATGTACAAGTTGTGCGGCTGTAAAGGGACCTCAGACTCGTAGTATTGTGCATTGAAGTTGTACAATGTTGGTGCACCATGGGAGAGAATAGCCATTGACGTGGCGGGGCCGTTTCCGGAGAGTGAAAGCGATAACAAGTATTTCATGGTTGTGATGGATTACTTCACAAAGTGGACAGAAGTTTTCGCCATTCCAAATCAAGAAGCTTCAACAGTTGCAGATAAACTAGTTCATGAAGTCTTCTGTCGTTTTTTTTAATAATAATAATAATTCATTTATTGCATTACTGTGTATAAGTTGAAGATGACTTATTATTAAATGTATCAACAGTTGCCTCATCAGGCGTGCAATAGATTAAAATTTTTCATAAACATAATAGGTATATATACTATTTACATTTAACAGATTACATTTTTGCAATTTACATTTAACAGATGATAGATTTACAATTAACTTCTAAGATAAAATATTAAAAAAAAATGCTTATAGATATAATTATAATAAAGAACACGATATTAACTCTTAAAATTATAGAATTCATTTAGCGTATAAAACGTATGTTCCACCAACCAGTTTTTTAAATTATGTTTGAATTTGGGTCCTTTTATTGTTTTGATACTATTGGGTAAGTGATTAAATACTTTAATTGCTGTTATGTATGCACTTTTGTCAAACAATTTATTTTTAATTTGAGGTAGATATAAATTGTTTACGTAGCAAGGGCGTAAATTTTGCCGTTCCGAAAGTTTCGTTTCGAATAAATCGCAATTATTTCTAATAAATAGGACAACTCTAAGATATATATTCCAGTTAAAGTTAAAAAACGTTTTTCTTTAAATAAATTCCTCAGGCTGTCTCTATTTGTTTTACGGTATATGATGCGTAAACATCGTTTCAGTAGTATAAACGTTTCATTTATGTTGGTTGAATTACCCAAAAAAATTATACCATAGATTAACAATGGATAAATATAACCATAGTACGCATTTCTAGTAACAGATTCAGAGGTTGACCAAGAAAGTATTGAAAGAACATAGCAATAACTCGATATCTTTTTGTTAATCTTTTCTATGTGCGATTTCCAATTTAGGTGAGAGTCAATTTTAACTCCAAGAAAGTTTATATTATCTACTTCCTCTATGATTGAGCCATCAAATGATATTTTTAAATGGATTGGTTCGGTCTTGTAATTTCTAATTTAGAGAATTTTAGTTTTAGTTACATTAATTGTTAGGTTTACAGATTTTAACCAGGACACTATGTCTTTTATGGACTTATTAATTTCACTTTCAAGTTCTGAACTATTTATTAGCTTACTAGTATAAAATACTGTAGCATCATCAGCAAACATTATTGTTAAATGCTTGGTGATTTTAAATATCTCGTTGATATATATTAAAAACAAAGAAGGACCGAGTATACTTCCTTGAGGTACACCAATGTTGACTTTTTTAAATTTTGACTTAATTGTTTCAATAGTTGTAGTATTACTATTGTACGTATCCAAAATAGTTGCCTGATATCGATCTTCTAGGTACGATTTAAATAGTTTTAGCGCAATTCCGCGAATACCAATGTTTTCCAATTGTTTCAGTAAAATTTCATGATTAACACAATCAAATGCTTTTGTCATATCTAAGAAAAGGGCAAAACATGGATTTTTTTCGTTTATGTCATCCCAAATATGTTTCATTATTTTAAATATAGCTAATGACGTGTTTTTACCTTTTTGAAATCCATACTGATTAGGATTTAAAATTTTATTTACATTAATAAAATTCATGAATTTATTATAAATAACTTTTTCAAGGATTTTGGAAAAGCTTGGTAGTAGTGCTATGGGTCTATAATTATTTGGGTCTTGCTTCGGTCCTTTTTTGTAAACAGGTTTTATAAGAGCTAATTTTTAGGTCATTTGGAAATGTACCCGTTTCTAACATTAGATTTATGATATAAATTATTGGTTCTGAAATATGCTTAAAGGATTATTTAATTAAATACATTGATATATGATCGTAGCCAAAAGATTTTTTCGGTTTGTGTATTAAACAAATGTTTAACTATTTTACTGGCATCATTAATGTTGATCGGTGATAAGAAAATACTGTTGCAATTAGATGAGTTATTTAAAGTTTTATAAGATCCAACATTATTATTTTGATTATTACGTGTAAGAAATAAGTTATTAAAAATTTCTACCATTTCATTTGGCTCACTGACTACAACCCGTTAACCTTTATATTTTTTATGGTGTTTTCTATTGAATTGGTGTTATTTTTTATCAAGTTCCATGTAGCTTTTGTTTTATTAACACTAGATTGTATATATTTTATATTAGACCTCCTTTTCGATTCAACTATTACCGCTTTCATTATTCTACAATACTCCCTATATCTACTTGTGTTAGCAAAATATATATGTTTCAACGTTTTTAGATATAATTTCCTTTTTTTCTACTGGATATTTTTATTCCTTTCGTAAGCTAATTAAGTTTATTTTTTGTGTAATTTTAATCCTCTTAAGGGGAAAACTTAGGGTAAAGATCAAGTTAAATATATTAAAGAATGATTTATATGCTAAGTTTATATCCTTTTCTTCATAAACTTCTCTGAATCCAATTTGGGATAAATACTTTAGAAATATCGGTAGATTGGAATCTATATTGCTCTTATAAATGAACCAGTGTTTTTTCCCAAAGTTATATCTACACGCAATACTAATTAATTGCGCAGTGTGGTCTGATAATCCCAAATCATACTTATTAGCATTTGTTATTATGTTATCTATACAAGTTGCAGAATAAGCCGTAATTCTAGTTGGCTCTTGTATAGTAAGATATAGATTGTATTTCCTTAGTGTTGTAATAAAGATACTTCTTCATTTGCTATTATATAACATGTTTATATTAAAATATCCTAATAATATTAATCTATTCTTATTGTTACGTGGACGTACTACTGGCTTAGCAAGTAAAATTTCAAGTTTTTCGATAAATATGTTAAAATCACTGTTAGGGGTTCTATATATACATACAATAATCAGATTTAATTCACTAATAATTATGCCACAACTCTCAAAATGATTATCAATTGACAGTTGGTTTAAGTAATCTATATTTTTGGAATCTATATTACTCCTTGTGTAAATGCAAACACCTCCTCTAGATTTCGATTTTCTTGCATAAATAGCCATCAATTTGTACCCATGTAACTTGTAAAAGTTCTTTTCTTCTTCTCTTAAAAACGTTTCCGTAAAACAAAGTATATCTAATGTTCTTTCTTTCTTTAAAATTTCAATATTGCTTAATTTAGATTTTAAACTTTGTATATTAATATGGAAAATATTCAGAACGTTCTCATTAGTGAAAAAACTGGTTGTTAGTAGTTACGTTATTGCCAATTTTTTTATTGATAGGTTTAAAATAGAACGGAATTGTTCCTTTCTTATAATTTGAAACACTGTTAATAACACTATTATTTTCAGCAGATTTTGTTATTTTATTCATATTGACGTTGCGATTCATTTTGGAAAAGTAGAATGGAATGGTCCCTGGCTTATAAGTATTTTTATTTTTACAATTTGTCTGTGATATATTTCTATTATGTATAAAATATTTTGTATAGTCTATTGAATCTATTTTTTTATTAATTTCATTAACCATTCTAAATTTAGACTTTGTGCTAAACATATTATTTGTCTTATATGGTATATCAATAAATGAGCAATGTGAATAATATAAACTAAGTGATTTTAACAAACGATTGAATTTATGTTCATTTAGATATGGATTGCGAATTACATTTGTGATCAATATCTTCTGTTCTCTATGATATTTTAGAAAAGAATATAGTTCAGCAAATGTTTTATAGGGATTAACATCATTAGCGCCTACTGAAATAATTATCCAATCCTCTGCACCCATTTGAACTTCATTTTGTAGTGGTTTTTTTTTTAAAATAACATCCGTAGGAGTGTCAGGATATGTAAATGCCGATATATTATATTGACGGGGGTTTTTATACCTTGACCGAATTTTCATTAAAGCTGAAGCCATTCCTAAAGCTTGCTGGTCACCAACAATAAGAATTTGATTTTTGTCTTTGACTTTAGTTTTGATAGTAACAGTTTTTTCTTTTGATTCTAAAGAACATTCATTCTTCTCTTGGACAGTAAGATCAGAACTGGGTTTTTCAGATAGAACTGTTTTAAATATTGAATTTTGGTTAATACTAGAGTTGTCTTCTTTAGGCTTTTTTTGCAGGATTTGGAAATAGCGCCGTGTTTGAGTGGACTGTCGAGTAGTTTCTTGTAAACACTTTCTTTTTTCTGGTACTGTTCTAGGGTTTTTCTTAAATTTGTATTTTCTAAGTTTAACTCCATAATTTCATTATGTGCACTGGTCAGTTGCAGAGTTAATTGATCAATTTCATTTTTAAGATCTATAATTTGTGAATTTTCTAGTAGGGTAGTATCAGGTAAACTTCTTGGAGATGTTTCCGGCATTAAGTTTATATTACTACTGTCCGAATCGGAATACGATATATTTCTTAAAGATGAATTTCTTTTCTCAAGTTTATTTCTAACAGTTATATTTACTTTACTTGATTTGCCCATACTCGTATTATTATGTTTTAAATGTGTGTTTTTGATCGAGTTTTTTATCATCGGGTCTTCAGTTGACGATGTATCACTTAAATTACCTTTCCGTTTAATCCCCTTATTCTCAATGCACAAAGTACATTTCCACTTCTCTTTGCTTTCGGTTTTCATTAAGTAATATCGCTTTGATAAAACATTCGTGCAGTCAATGTCATAGTACATATAACATATAGAGCAGTTTAAAAATTCTTTGTCTTTAATTATTTGTTGGCATTTAGCACAACGCAATGCGGTTATTTTTCGTTTAGTTGCCATTTCGTTTGAAGTTTGCAATATCTTAAATAATCTTACAAAAATAATATTCAAAAGTAAACAAACGTGTAAACAAAAACAACAAACAAAAAGTTAATTAATTTAAGACTAAAAACTATAAATAAAAACTACTTCAACATTAAAAATTATTAAAATTATTAAAATTATGCCTAATAAAAAAAGCTATAAATAAATGGATATCACCGGTTTTGAACTCAGGTCTCTAAGATTTATCCGACAGTCATGCGTGTTCACAATCCGTTACACCAATCTAACACTACACGTTTCAGTCAAAATAACAGTCTGTTCATTAAGACTTTCTTGAACGTTTGAAATCAATTTAGAAACACCGTCTTTACAATTTTACTTCAATTAACACATCACTAATTAATTATACACAAAGTTACGGTTTTTAGTTTTATTTTCACTCACACTTTAGAAAAATGTCAATAAGCGTAATTAATGTTCGGTAAGTTTGTAATTAATTCTTCTTTCAACACTTGAACTTAGTTTATACCCGCGAAAGTTTTAGGATGATATTTGCAATATTACTTTATTATAATGAAAAATAACACTCTCACTTCTTTTCTGTTATGTTTACGTCACTTTAAATGAGTTATTACTTAGATAAATGATCTAGAAATATGTTTAAATTGTAAAATGTACGGAGTCGATACTGCAACCGCAAGCGCCGTGCGTTTTGGAGTACCTTTAGAGATTCACAGCGATCAAGGAAGGAATTTTGAGTCTCAAATATTCCAGGAAACTTGGCGAGTTATGGGTACTCATAAAACAAGAACGACTTCTTATCACCCGCAATCTGATGAAATGGTGGAACGATTTAATCAGACATTGGAGAGGTACCTAGCAAAAGTTGTAGACAATCGGCAACGAGATTGGGACAAGCACATACAACCGTTTTTGTTGTCATATCGAAGTTCTGTTCACGAAAGTACAGCAGTGACACCAGCTTTCGCAAACTTTGGAAGAGAATTACGGCTGCCTGCAGACCTGATCACCGGGATACCTGATGCCCCACGTAGTATAACCGATTATGCAAATGACTTGCGGAACAAAATGAATGACATTTATGAGCACGTCAGACAATCGGGCCAGCAAATGTCTGAGAAAATGAAAACCCGGTACGACCGCAAAATGAACAATAAAGGGTTCAACGAAGGTTCATTAGTGTGGTTACACGAAGCAGCAAAGGGAAATCTCCTAAACTTCAAGCTAAATGGGACGGCCCGTACCGGATTGTAACCAGGATCAACGATGTGACCTACCGGATACAGAAAGGCGCAAGAGGGACTCCTAAGATCGTCCATGTGGATCGCTTGGCGCGTTATTATGGGACCGATAATGCTCGGGACGAGCATGTCTTAGGAGGGGGCAGTGTTGCGTGAATAAGTCAACGTCATACACTAGCGCCATCTAGTGTCAGGAACGAGAGCGAGGGGAGCTTTGCAGAAAATGACATCACAAATCTTTCAACCGACATCGCCATCCGAAGAACTAAGTTTCTAGAAAATCTACACTCGAACACTCGTCGCTTTGCGCGCATTTACTTGTATATTCCGGATGCTTCATTGCTAATTTGTATATATAGACGGCTGCAAGATGCGATCGGAGCAGTATTGGATTTGGCGATACAAGCGAAGCTTCGGAGCGGAATAAAGTGAATTAGTGTGTTTAATTATTAGTGTTTTAAGTTTTAATTTGTGTAAAGTAAATTAAAGTGTTAATTTAGGTAATTTTATCGGCAATTTTTATTGTCACGAACCTCAAGCTCGTAACACTATGTTAGTAGGCATAATATTATTAGTGTAGTACAAAAAAAAACATCAATATTTATATGTGCCGTTTTCTCACCAATCCACCTGATATGGTACTACAATGGCACATGTATAGGCAATCCAGTCTGCTTGCAATCACTTTTAGGATACTATTGTTGCTCCCCCGCACCCTGCGCACCAGAGACGCGCACCTTTTGCGCATAGGTCGAGTAAAAGCAATCCACTCGCGCTTCCGCGGATATCCCTGATGCACTACAGAAGTGAGGTAGTCCCAGCAGCACCCTAAATTCGTTGTTGTATTGTACTCGAAGGGCGTTGTAAACCTTTTGAGTATATCTAGCCCACAGGCTTCACGTGTAAAATGACGTGCAGAAAGCTCTAAATAGGGCTAAAATAGCCCCTTCCCTTGAACAGCGTGCAAACCTGTGAGCTATCGTGTTCGCTCTTACTGACAACGCCCTTTGTTCCCTCTCAATGTCATTATCATCTTTGAGGTGAGGAGTCAGAATATGGCCAAGATATTTATACCTAAACGTTCTTTGTAAAATATTACCATTAATTGAAATAGATGGTACTATGTCATGCCGCTTACTCCCGGTCTCAAAGCCAATACATGGCTATTTTTTACATTATAAGCCAAGCCATGAGTGAAAACGTAAGCTTCACAAATCTTCACCAGTCTTCGTAGGCCGCAAACAAATGCACTCAACAACACCATGTCATCTGCGTAACTGATGTTGTTGACGCAGACATCGTCAATATGACAGCTAAATCTGATGCTGTTGAGTTTACCTACCAGCTCATTCACATACAGAATGAAGAGCGTGGACGAACTTTAACCCCCCTGTTTCACCCCGCACTGCAAACTGTATGGTATAGATAGGGCGCCTTCACATTTCACATTATTGACCCGATTCCCGTACGAATACTTGAAAATGTTTATGAGTTCAGGAGGTAGTTGGATCATCTCCAGTTTATCCCACAGTAAGTTGTAGAACACCAGGTCAAAAGCCTTTAAAAGGTCTAAGAAACAAGCGAAGACTGGCGTTTTGCATGCCGTGTAGTAAGTGACAGTGCGCTTAAGACACAACACCGCGCTTTTTGTAGACAACTTAGGTCTAAACCCAAATTGACTGTCGTATGGTTTTACGTATATATTTAATTGCGAATTAAGCACACTATCAAATACTTTTGAAATGACAGTTGCTAACGATATAGGTCTATAATTGTTTTTATCCGCGAGATCGCCTGTTTTATTCTTCAATATATTCACTGTAACCGTACGTATCATGTCAGCGGGCATGTACCCATGTCCTACGCAGAGACTAAATAACAAATATAGCAGCAAACTTGAGATGATCGATACTGAGCCCGACATGGCCAGGGGATTTACCTCTAAACATAGATTTAACTACCTGATCTATTTCTTAATTGTAAAAATTATTTTATTTTCTTTGTTATGCACTATATTTAGCACCGAACGCGAAGTCCCAAGAGGAGATTTAACTGCAAAATGATCTACGAATAAGTTGGCAATTTTCTCAGACTCACTTACACCACCAACGCTCACTGGCAGGCCCGGTTTACATTGCAACCTATTGGTATGTTTCTAAAAAGAGCGAAAATCAGTTTTCGAATGGTGTGAAGCAAGAATATCCATCTTAACTTGATTTTCGTGATCTTGACACCACTTAAAGCGAGATTTAAATATTTTTCTAGCTTCACACATTTCCTCATATATGGTGCCACTCCCACAGGTAAAACTTTAACCTGGCCCTTCGATGTGCTTCCGCAACATGTCTGTTCCAGCCCACAACTACCTTTTTTTCGATTTTTTATAGTTACGTCCATTGTAAACTGCCAGCTCATGAGGTACCTTTTGAATCACCAGCTGATTAGTGATTGCCCATATGGTTTCCGTCGTGGTCGATCAGCTGGTGGTTAGAAGACCACAGGTAGACCAGAAGTTTTACCTAACTTATTGATGGGCGGCGACAGTAGAGTCCAAGGGGGAGGCATTAGCCGTAGTTTGGATACGATTTCGATCGGGTTTGGCACAAAGCGCTTCTTTCAGAGCTCCCTTCCTATGGGCTTCCCGAGAAATTGTGCAACTGGATCACCAACTTTCTTGCAGATTGGAGTATCAAATCGTCGCAGATAGTGCAAGCTCCGATTACAAGTCTATTAATGCTGGTGTTCCACAAGGCTGCGTGCTACCACCAACGCTGTTTCTTCTGCATATCAATGATATATTGCAAACCTGCAACATTCATTGCTATGCAGATAACAGCACTGGTGATGCTTTGTACACCGGCTGTGCCAAAATTTCTCGTGAAAACGTCTCCGAGTACCGGGATAAACTTGTGTCTGAAGTCGAGTCTTTGCTGAACAAAGTCTCGGAGTTGGGGCGACTAAATCTAGTCCATTTTAACCCTCAGAAAACACAAGTTTGCGCGTTAAACGTTAAAAAACACCCCTTTGTCGTATCACCTTAGTTTCAAGGCACTCCCATTGTTACCTCAGCAAGTATCGAAATCCTTGGCGTCGACATATCGAGTGACGTTCAGTTTCGTGGTCACTTGAAAGAGAAGGCCAAATTGGTCTCGAAAAAGCTTGACGTGCTCAGCAGAGCGGAACAGTATTTCATGCCGGCACACCACCTGCAACTTTACAAGGCGCAGGTTCGGCCGCACGTGGAATACTGTTCCCATCTCTGGGCTGGGGCTCCCCAGTACCAGCTCCTTCCACTTGAACGTATTCAGCGCAGATAGGCTGGAATCGTCGACGACCGAGTGATTTCCGATCGGCTTGATTCACTGGCGCTGCGAAGAGACGTTGCATCTCTTTGCGTATTTTATCGCATCTATCACGGGGAGTGCTCCCAATTTCATGAACGTACTACGCGGC